ACTTATATACATGCAAACAAAACATACCTAAAATTAAAATTTTTAAGTATAGTAAGAAAGATAAGAATGAAACTATATTATGTTACATAGGAATTGATGATAGAATATCCATTTTCTACAACCCCCAAATGACATATATTTTTCTAAATTATATTTTAAATTCTTATTTATGTTATAAACTTTTGTCATAAAATACTAAGAAATAGAATTCTCAAGCATCTAACTTTGAACTTCCAAATCTGAAGATGGTAGAATAAAGATGTATTTCCAAATTGAATTATTTTATGAAATAGAAATGTGTAAATGTAAGGCAGGAGTGGTGGTGCATACCTTTAAGCCCAACATTAGGGAGGTAGAGGCAGAAAGATCTCTGTGAGATCAAGGCCAGCCTGGTCTACATAGAGAGTTCCAGGCCAGATGGAACTACAGAGTGACCCTGATTTTAAAAAGAAATGCTTAAATATGTCAACAAAAATTTATCGGCAAAAAAGTAAAATTAAAATTAGGCTTTTTGATAAATAGTAATCCATCTCAAGTTTATGTATATAAAAAAACTCAACATAATATAATTACCAAATAAGCTTAGGAAGATCAAAGATAAACTATTATAGTCTTTATTTGCCTTTCACAAGTACAGCCTAATATATGATAGTCAGTAAATGTTTAATTAAACTCTTGAACTAAATATTATAATTCTGATACTGTTGATTTAAATTTATGTTTTTTATTTTAATTAAATAAAAATAAAATATTACTAACTTCAGTATTTAGGAAAAATATTAACTCTGGCAAATAAATACAATCATTATGCTTTTGTTTTATTTTTCCTATATTAATGACATATTTTTTCCTGAACCTGATCTCCAGAAAGTGTACATAAGTTCTCAGCCACATTTCATTTACATCTGACTCATGTATAATGAAATTATAACAAGATACACTGTCAGAAAATGCAAGTGAATATGCCATTTTAAATGTTATACATAATTTAACATGTCTTCTTAAAATGTACATGACGTTTAGGATTTGCTATATGTCTTCACAATATTTTTGTGTAACTATTTCCTTATGATGAGCCACATTCCTTCTTCACATTCTTCTAATTCAAATTGAATAAAAAGTTTCTTTTATCCATTTCTTAGTTGTCATAGGCACAATCTTTTTTCGTAAGTTGTGTTTTGAGGAATAGAAAATATATGTATTCCTATTCTCTAATATTATGCTGCTTCTATGGAAAACAAAATTTTTACCAATTATTTTTCAAATGCAGGTGAGGATGCTGAGAAAGGGGAAACCTCATTCACTGCTAGTGGAATTTCAAACATGTGCAACCACTATGGAAATCAGAATGGAGAACTCTTTAAAAACTAAAAATAAATCTACCATATAATCTGGTTATACCACTCCTTAGCATATACCCAAAAAACTCATCCTATTGCAGAGATACTTGTGCAGCCAAGTTTGTTGTTTCTCTCTTTGCAAAAGCTAAGAAATGGAAACAACCTAAATGTTCCTCAACTGATGAGTGGATAATGAAAATGTGGTACATTTGCGCAATGGAGTTCTACTCAGTGGCAAAGAAAAATGAAATCATGAAATTTGCAGGTAAGTGAATAGAACTAGGAGCTGTTATACTAAGTAAAGTAACACAGACTCAGAAAAACAAGTGATATGTGTTCTCTCTCATTTGTGAATCTTAGTTCCAAATCCTTAGATGCAGGTATATACACTGACATAACCCCAGGAACCAGGAAAAGGGAAAGGAACCAATTCAGTTCTTGTATCAGAAAAAGTTTCTCATTTCTAGAGCTGCTTAGGTTCCTCTAACCTTAACATTACCTTTCACTGAGTAAGAATTTATAGTTCAGGGGGCTGGAGAGATGGCTCAGTGGTTAAGAACACTGGTTGTTCTTGTAGAAGACCCAGGTTCGAATCCCAGCACCCACATGGCAGCTAACTGTCTGTAACTCCAGTCCCAGGGGATCCGACAGCCTCTTCTGACCTCCGCGGGCAATGCACAACACGGGTGCACTTACCTACATGCAGGAAATACACACATACACATAAAATAAATAAATAATAAATTATAAACAAATTTTTAAAAAATAATTTATAGCTTATAGTCTTTACTTTTACCCCAACTTCTATCAGGAAAACAGTATTGCAAAATGGTTAAGGACAAGTACTCTGGAGGCAGATTTCCTGGGATATAATTCCAACTCTAATATGGATCAGGTGTGCAACCTATTCTCTGTGTTTTCCTTTCCTTGATCATAAAGCAAAAAAACACCCTCTAAGGTTGTTATTAAAAATATGTGTTAACACACACAACATGCTTAGAAAAGTGCCCAATGTATGCTAAGTAATATTAAACAATGCAGTATTTTTTGACAGAGTCAGTAAACACCTCAAAAACTCATGTAGTTGACTCATGCGACAACTTAAATCCTTGAACGCATCAGACCATCCATTCTTCAATTAATCCACACATATTTGTGACCACATGATACACTTTAGTCTACAGCTTCTTAAATAGTGATCAAGGCCCCTCTCATAACTGAATGCAGGGTCATGAAAATTAAGATACCAGCAAAAGGTTTCTGAATGTGAAACCTCCAAAATCTAATTCAAAAACTAGTCATAATTAGAATAGTTTGTTTTTCTTTAGAACTCAAAAGATTTCATATATACATCATATGAGCTAACATGAGGTGTGTCTGGCAGAGCTCACCCATGCTGCGTCACATGAGTTTACTGCAACCTTACTTCTGAACACACAGCATGAACACTTTGCACCACTGCATGCTCTCATCCATGCAACACCAACAAATGCTGCCTAAAATACTTCAGCTCAGATTCCAGGTTACTGCATTCTAAGAATTTTAGGTTTTACTGTATATGCAAAATTTTCTCCTCTAATATAGAGAAAAGGAAATTCTTCAATCTGTGTACATGACAAATTGCTGCAGAAAGTGTGACAGTGAGATTTTCTGTATGTAGTGACGCTATGGAAAAGATGAACAAGTGGCTAAATTCCTGAGTTCATCATGTGAGAACTGTATTTTGTTTTGTTGGTTTTCATGTGTGTGTGTGTGTGTGTGTGTGTGTGAACATTCATGTGAAGTTGAAAGCCAAAGAAACTCATGGTGGTTGGGTTATATATTTACAACAGTATGATACGGAAAAAGTTAAATTACAGGTGAGACAGGTTCTGTAGCTATAAAAGAACTTTTTAGAAACTTGGTAAGTATTACACAGGGAAAACATTATGAGGAAGAATGGGTTTGCAACACTGAGAGATTGGCTGGTTTTATAGGACTTTGGAAAATGGCCATATATTATGCAAGTGATGTTTTTGGCTCACAGAAATCTTACCCTTTATTTTTCTAGGAACAATGGTTTGGTGTTCAATAATTCAGCATTTCCAGGACTTTACAGGAAACTATGACAAATAAAGAAAGCTAACTGTGCATTTGTGCTGCATTTGTGCTCAATAAGTAAAATAGATGAGTCACAGCTTTCTACAAAGAATATTTCTCATGATTATTAACTTGACCATTCTTCCCATTAGTTATTCCAAAACAGCAAATTTCAAAACCCTGCGAGTTAATGTATCTAGACCCCTCCAAAACCTGTTTGGGAAGCAAAATTCCATGTTCTTTAATACAATGTTTTATTCAAGTCTGGAAGTATTGAGAGTAGTCACTAATTCTGAGCAAATAGTGAACCCAGAAGGAACTCAAATAAGCACTTGATCCCCGCCAAGAGCCAAGAGGCAGCCAGTACTGAGAGAAGCTGAGGAGGCTTTTAGGACATGCTCCAATATCCATGTAACCCTGAATAGTGCGTGCTAAATAGCTCCCGAAAGGCCTAGGAAACCTGTTCACTTCTTATTATCAGCAAAAGCTAAGAAAGTCTATGTAGTCAATGTTTAGTAACTCTTTGTTAAATGAATGAACGTAGTACAAAAAAAAAATGAGCAAGACTGTACCATCTAAATCAAAAAGGCTGACTTCATCTTTTATATTGTCCATGCTTTGGCTACAACAGAAGCAAACTAGTTGATTAGCTGAAAAAAATCAAACTGTGATTTAGTGAATCCCAATGGAAGTCACACGAATATTGCTATGGCTAAATACTATCATTAAACACTCATCAAACAATACAGAGAAAGATGCTAAGTGGCTTCAGTGTGAGGTGACCAAATAACATGTAAAATGTCATAAATAATCACATGGCAAATATAGTTACAGTAGTTATACATTCTCCCCAGTATCTAGCTTATCTCTATAATTTGGTGCAATAATTGAAAGTACAATACTTAGACAATTAGAAAATCGAGGCAATAACAAAATAAATAATTTTATTTTAACTTAAGCATGGATACTCTAATCATTAACACTGATTTATTAATATAGTTTCATTTTCATTAGAACAAACTGATTGTAACTGTTAAGGTACCAGCTTGGTGTGTCCAACAGTTTTAAATTAACATATATGTCTGGTGTGTAAGTGTGCAACAACGTGTGTCTGTAAAAAGAAAACAAAGAGAAACTTTTTGAGAAATATATTCTTCAGACAACAGATTTTAATTTTTTAGAGTATTTTTCTGTATTTGATTTTGTGTCTATCTATTCACAACAATTTTTAGAATTTAACTCTACATTAAATTTAATTGAATAATATTATGAGTCTCTTTTAACTGCAAAATTAGCCATCAAGTGTCCTTGTTCACTTAGGATGAAATGTGAACACCAGGCCATCTGCTTAGGTGGTACAATTACACCTGGCCTTCAGTGTGTGCTTGGCATCCTCTGTGTTAGCACTCTTTTCAATTACAAGCCTTCAAAACAACTTCACCTTGATCTTTCACGTTAAGTCCAAAGTATCTTGGGGACACAATTTGACATAAATCTAAACCTATGACGTTTCCCTTTAAAAAGGCAGAAATAGAAAAGGGCTTTGCATTCAATTACAATAAAACATCATAAGTACGGAAGACTCATTTTTAAAATTGTCATTGAAGCAATATGGATAACAGTGCCTCTCTTGATCAGGACCAAAATCATTGTTCAGCCATCAATAACAGCATCTCTCTGATGCAGGGCAGCCTCCCGACTCTGACCTTATCTGGGAAGATCCGAGTGACAGTGACTTTCTTCCTTTTACTACTATCTACCACCTTTAATGCTTCTTTCTTGCTGAAGCTAAAGAAATTGACTCAGAAGAAGGAGAAAGGAAGAAAGGTCTCAAGAATGAAAGTGCTTTTAAAGCATTTGACCTTAGCCAACCTATTGGAGACTCTAATTGTCATGCCACTGGATGGGATGTGGAACATAACAGTTCAGTGGTATGCTGGAGAATTCCTTTGCAAAGTTCTCAGCTATCTGAAGCTCTTCTCCATGTATGCCCCTGCCTTCATCATGGTGGTGATTAGCCTGGACCGTTCTTTGGCCATCACCAGGCCCCTCGCTGTGCAAAGCAGTATCAAGCTGGAACAGTCCATGATTGGCTTAGCCTGGATTCTCAGCATTGTCTTTGCAGGACCACAGGTAAACCATTACTCCTGCACTTGTGTCAATATGGTGATCACAGATTTCCTATTTAAACGAGTAAAAGCGGTACCTTGAACTGGGGCTCTGGAAATTAGAGAGTAGACTGTATCCCTGACTACTTTTTTTCCTTGGGCAAATTTCTTACCTCTCTGGGTTTCTGTTTATCATTTATAAAATGGGGTGAATGGCTACTTCATGTGTTTTCATGATGATTAGATGAATAATGTATTAAAGTGTCTAATGTAATGTCTGCTACATAGAAAGTCCTCCTTAAAAAGTAGCCTTCTACAACTGACCTCATCCCTATACCCCTTCTTTCTTTCTCATTCTTCCTCTCTTTCATACTTGGAATGGGGTCTTGCTATGTTGCCAAGAATATTCTGAAACTTACAAGCTTCTTGCTTCAGACTCCCAAGTAACTGAGATTGTAGATGTGTTTCCTTTTTACACAGCTTCTTCTATTTTTCCTCTTGCTCTGGTTGTCATGATATAATCGTTAATTGAGAAAAAATAGGAGCTATGAAACTTACATATGTGGAAAATATTTATAAATTTTCTTACTTTGAATGGATTTAGCTCAGTGGTAGAGTGCTTGCCTAGCAAGCGCAAGGCCCTGGGTTCAGTACTCAGCTCAAAAAAAAAAATGATTATCTTGATTAGTATGTTGCTCTTGGCTAAATTATTTGCAAAATCCACGTTTTCAATGATCAGATCACTGAAGAACACATAAAAAAAAATCTTTCAAATACCAATGATCCTACCATTAACAGATGTGGATAAGTTGTCTCTATGCTTTCCAGTTCACTATATGGTAAACCAAGGGAAAAATGTGATAAGAAATAAAACAAGAGTTCTCTAAAATCCAGCAAAAAAAACCTCTAAAAACGGAAATCTGTCTAAATATTATAAACTATCCATGTATCCAAAAAACCTGCTATGCAAAATTCATTAAGTATAGCAAGATCCTAAGTAAATATTTCCTTAGTAAACTGAGGAGCAGCATTAATTTAATTTCTCTCTCTCTCTCTCTCTGTGAAATAGAAGAAATGAGAAAAGCTAAAATGCTTTTATTTCCCTCAAGAAAAGTACATCATAATCAGTCATACCTTGACTGTGTATACAAAAATTGGGTTTCACAGACATGTCCTTGAAATGAGATTATTTAGCTAGGATTATGTTCTTGAATTTTCCATTTCCTTCTTTAAAGTATGAGCACTGCCAATTAATTAGTTTTGTCAAATATAAACACAAGTTAAATTCTCAGCACAGAACCCAGTACTAATGAAACAAAGAGACAACCTGGGAGGGGGGGTGTCATTCATTAGTGGAGAAAAAATTATGCATAAGTAATATAATTAGAAATGAAAAAATAAATGTATTACAACTATAAGAAGACAATGAGATAGGAAGTTTGAGCTGAAATGATGAAGAAACATTTAGGGGGATGAAAAAGCTAATGAAGCATCACATATTTTTTCAATGAAGATTAAAATTCATGAACAGCTTTCATAGGAAACTTATTTGGTTGAAATGAAATGTGGAGAGTTAGGAACAGTGAGAAATTAGATTTGGTGGTTTCCCCTTTTCCTTTGACCTCATGGTATACTATATGTATTTGTTATAAAACACTGTCATTGTTTGTGTTTACATTGGTAGAGGCTTTGTTGTACTGAATTTATCTTTATTTATGCTACTTAATATGGTATTTAGAAAAATACAGACTAAAAAGTATTTCTCGCATTAGTATGTATAATTTTGATGCCTTTATGTTATCAATTAAAAAATAATGATAGGCATGATGGTACATGTTTGTAATTACACCCTTAGGATTCACAGACAGCCTAGGTTATATAGAGATCCTATCTTAGAAAAGGGCTGGGGTGTAGTTCAGTATTAAAACTCTTGCCTGAAGGCCTTGAGTTCAATTTCCAGCACTTAATTAATTAATTAGTTTTAAAGATATAACATTAAAATATTTGAATTAATGAATTAATGAGAATAATTAATTGCAGAAGGCAATGATATTCTCAATAAACACTTGAAATTAATGTATAAGGCTGATAGCCTTTGACAGTTCTGAGTAAGGGGTAAATGTTACATTTAAACTTCTATTTTAATTGGCAAATAATAATTGTGCATATTTATAAGATATAATGTGATGTTTTAGTATATCACATTTTGTAAGGATCAGATTAGGATAATTAGCATAACTGCAACCTCAAACCAGCATAACTTTTTCAAACAAAAATATTTCAGCAAAATCTTTGTGAATCACCTACCAGTGCAATGACTAATCTGAGAGTAGGCTATCAGAGGAATCAAGCGCTTTGTCAAAGTGTCCTGAAAACTCTCACATGATTAATCTTTTTATTTGTTTGAGACAAGGTCTTATGTAGGCCAGGCTGGCCTCGAACTAGCTATGTAGCAGAGTTCAACCTTGAACTTCTGATTTTCCTGCCTCTACTCCCTATGTGCTAGAATAATAGGTATGTGCCACCACATCCAGTTTATGTCATGTTGGGGTTCAAACTCAGGGCTTTGTATATGTTAAGCAAGCACTCTATAAACTGAGATATGTTCTTTGATATCTACATGAACACTATAAGGTAAATAGGAGCATGGTATTATCCCCCTTTCACATACAAAAGAACTAAAGTATAACTTTCCAGCAATAATTAAAATTAAGAAATGCATGCCATATTGAGATATGGTCTGCCTCTTGGTTTCTTCTTCTCTTTATATAACTGAGAACGTTTTCATCATCCAATGACATTCTGTTGTATTTTGGTTTTTAATGTTTATTACACCTCATTGATGGACACATCTTGTAATTAAAAACACTGGTCTAAAGATATGCATTAATCTTACCAATATAGAGGACCTAATGGGCTCATGTCTCTATATTAAATGCCAGTGTTTGTATTGCAGCTCTATACTATTTCTGAATAATATTGATTTTAGCTTTATGACTAATGTCACATATGTGATGCAAAAAACAAAAAGTGCAGAAAGCTTTTTCTTTCTAGACTGTGACACAGTATGTCTCATGAATCACCATACTCCATGGACACACCTATAAACCAAGTCACATTTTATAGCTAATTTACGTTAAAGGGTGACTTTACTGTCATTCTTTGGTACATGAATAATATTGATTTTAGCTTTATGACTAATGTCACATATGTGATGCAAAAAACAAAAAGTGCAGAAAGCTTTTTCTTTCTAGACTGTGACACAGTATGTCTCATGAATCACCATACTCCATGGACACACCTATAAACCAAGTCACATTTTATAGCTAATTTACGTTAAAGGGTGACTTTACTGTCATTCTTTGGTACATGTGTTGGTTGGTTGTCACCAGAGTAATTCAAACCTCAGTTTAAAAAATAAATAAATAAATAAATAAATAAATAAAGTAAAAATTTTTAAAGTGGAGGCTGGAGAGGTGGCTCAGGGTTAAGAGTGCTTGCTGTTCATCCAGAGCCCCCAACCAACTCCCAGCAACTACATCGGGTAACTAATAATCACCTGGAATTCCAGCTTCAGTGGATCTAATGCCCTCTTCCAGTTTCTGAAAACACCTGCACATATCTATATTTATGCAGACATATATTTATATACAAAAATATATATACATAAATAAAAACAAATCTTAAAAAAGAACTAGTTGTCACATCTGAAGCTTAAGAATCTAGAAATTTCTGAGATCTTTCTAGGACTCAGAGTAATAAATTTTAAGTTTTCAACTTGTTTTTCTATTTTCTTACTTCTAGCCTCAGAAGCTAAATCATATAATGGTTTGGCTATGTGTTTTCAGAAGTTTCAATGTAAACTTTTATAACAGAATTCTTATAAAAACTCTATGTGTAGTGGCCTAGAGAAATGACTCAGTGGTTAAGAGTGCTTGCTGCTTTTGCAGAGGACTGGAGTTCAGTTCTGAGCACCCACATGGAATGGTTCACAACCACCTGTAACTCCAGCTCCAGGGGATCTGACACCTTCCTCTGGTACCTGCACTCACATGCACGAAACCCTACACAGACACACATGCATACATAATTAAAAATAAAATAAATCTTTTTAAATGTCTTATATGTAGCCACAATAAATTAAACAGGTATAAGTGGAGATTCTCTGTTTCAGACAGGGATAAAGGAAGACCTCATCTCTTCTTAGCTGTTCACTTGTCTCAGTCACAGTCCCTTTGAAGACCTCAGATCTCCTTACAACAAAGTTTGAAAGCTAATGAAATCATAGAAATGGCAGGGGTGCTAGATTTCAACAGAATTGTATTCAAATGCCCATATTCTTTCAACCATGTGATGTGAGAATGTTACTTAACTAAGCTTAAAAGAGTAATTGTAAGCCTGGGGTGGTAATGAATGCCTTTAATGCCAGCACTTAGGAGGCTAAGGAAGCAGGATGGAGTGTTCAAAGCCACCATGAGCTACATAGAAAGACTGTCTCAAAGCAAACAAATAAATGAACGAATAAGGAGGAGAGATAACTCAGCAGTTAGGAGCACTGACTGCTCTTGCAGAAGACTGAAGTTTGAATCTCAACACTCACGTGGTAGCTAACAACCATCCATAACTCTAGTTTCAAGGGATCTGATGCTCTCTTCTGACCTCTGTGGTCATTGCATGACACGAGTACACTTACAAACATTCAGGTATAACACTCATATACATAAAATAAAAAATAAATTAATTAATAGGTAATTGTAAAGAATAAATTGTATGTCTGTGAGTTCAAGGTCAGCCTGGTCTACATAGTGAGTTCCAGGACAGCTGGGGCTACAGGGAGACCCTGTCTCAAAAAGACCAAAAAAAAAAAAAAAAAGAATAAATCATTTTGTACATAAAACTACCCAGGAAAAGACCACTCACTTTAATTTTAAAGACTCAGTTAATAGCCATTTCCTTCTCCTTTTTTTCTTTCATTATAAGATTTGAAGTCAGAAAGAAAAAAACAACAAATGTTGTTTGAGAATA